CCTTGCCTTGCCGCCCTGCTCAATTTCCGCATGCACCTTCCGCCGGTCATGTTTCTTGGATTCGGGGTGTGACAAACCAACCCACAAAGGTACAGGTTTCTTGGGACGCAGGTCCCAATCTTGGCCTCGACCATCTCTTTTTTTGTTCAGTACTTGAGTAGCTTGCTTCGTGAAAGCATATGAACACAAAGCTCGAACACGTAGGACAGGCGTTCACATAGTCTTGCTGGTGCGATAGGCAGGGAATGAGGCAATGACCCTTATAAACAATCCAACTGGCGGTTTCCTTTAAGGGGACTGCGTTCATTCCCGCATTCCCTACCTATCGCACCAGCAAGAATTGGCACCAGGTCACATGACGTTGTCACTCTGCCCAGGAAGCTGGCTTTCAGGCTCGGATCAAATGGGGGTGGGATATGTTTTGAGGTTGCTTTAAATGTTGAAAAGGAAGCCACAAGGACGCACAAAAAATGGATGAATACCGCTCAAAGTTGAGACCTTCAAGTCCTCTCATGAGGTAACTTCGGGGCAAAATGAAACCAAAGGACGCACGTCGGGGATCGCGCAAACTCTCCGAGCAAGCATGCTTGGTAGCTCTTTGATTGTTCATGTCAGCCTAGGTTCGTTGCAGGTCTGGGTTGCCCTTGACAATAACATGACGATCTGCTGCGTGTTGGCACAAACACTTGTTTGGCTCCTTGCTTGGCTCCCAGGCCCTCACCAAACATGAACAAATGTAATCTCTTGTCGCCATGGGCCGATGAAATGCCCCAAGCAGTCGCAGAAAACAATCCTTTCCTGTGATACAGTGGCAAAGTAGACCATTTCTACGACTGGCTTCTCCCTGGCCATTCACAGACCTTGGGATTGCCACAGCGACTATTTCTCACAATGCTGTACACCTCACCACTTAATGCCCCCTAAGTAAGCCATGTGAACCCTCCGCACATCCAGTCACAGTTTCCGAAATCTCGGGCAGGGGCTTCAACAAAGTCAACCCTGAAAAAGGAAACCACAGTGTCTTTGTTCGGGGACCCCCCCAAGAATGGCTTTGGTTTTCCTCCTGGTTTCCCGGGACCTTGGTGTTGATCTTCCCCACCCCACCCCCCACCGCGCACACCCCCCCCCCACCGCGCACACCCCCCCCCAACCACCCCCCCCCCACCCCCCCCCACCCCCCACCAGTACTAAGGGTCGTTGGGCGGTGCGCTCGGCACCGTGCCCGCTCGGCACTGTGCCCGCTCGGCACTCCTAACCTAAAGTGCCCGCTCGGCACTGCCTACTCCCCCTAGAGTGCCCGCTCGGCACGTTTACCTGAGTGCCCGCTCGGCACGCCTAAGTGCCCGCTTGGCACGCCTAAGTGCCCGCTCGGCACGCGGGCCCGAGCGATTTTTTCCTCCAGCGGGCCGATGTTGGGGTCGCGGGGCTCACTGTCCTGCGAGGGATCGAGCACGACTGTTCGGAAGGAAAAAAACGAGGACGGGGGGTCCTTTACGCGGCCGCTTCGGTGCCGGGGATGAAGCGGCCTGGCACGAAAGCGCGGCCGAACGATTTCAACGGACGACGGATGAGCCTTCAGCCGGGCCAGCTCCTCGCGGAGCGAGCGCGCGTCGGAGGAAAAAAGAGACGCCCGGTAGCGAGCCTGGTACCCCTGGGTCCACTGCTTCTCGGCGCGCACCTCCGTCTCCAGCACCGCCACCCGCGTCTCCTGACAAGGAAAAAGCCCCCAAAAAGGGGGGGAAAGAAGGGAGGGAGACGGGCCTTCGCGGCCACCTCCCGCATCAGCGCCACCTGCAAAAACGGATTTGCGGCCCCCGCCCAACCCCGAAAAAAGGGTCGCGCCTTGTCCGCCTCCAAGGTGACGACCCGCGCCTCCGCGGCGGAAGCGCGGGCCTCCGCCGCAGCGAGGCGCTCATCCTGACGGGGAAAAAAAGGGACATCCGAACGGCGAAGAAACGAACGCGCCTTGAGCGCGAGCTCCAATCGCGTCCTGTCCTGCCAGGCGAGCGGAAAAAGAAAAAACGAGGAAAAAGGCAGGCCTTGGACGCGTTGTACTCCGCCTCGCGGCGGAGCTTCGAAGGAGGTGGCCTCCGCGAGCGACGCAAAAAAACAAGAAGAGGCGATCGATCGACGCGCCCACGACAGCTCCTGGAGGGCGACGTGCTGGTGCTCAGCGCCCTTGAGATCATTGCGCACTTCGACCCCCTCATGTGGGTCGTTGAGAACCCCACCCCTCCACCCCACACACCCCCACACCACCCACACCACCCCCCACACCACCCCCCACACCACCCCCCACACCACCCCCACACCACCCCCCACACCACCCCCCACCCCACACCACCCCCCACACCACCCCCCACACCATCCCCCACACCACCCCCCCACCCACACCACCCCCCACCCACCGCACCCCCACCCCACCCCACCCCACCCCCCCCACCCCACCCCGCCCCACCCCACCCCGCCCCGCCCCGCCCCGCCCCGCCCCACCCCGCCCGCCTCCTTCCGCACCTCCCGCAAACCCTCCTGCTCCCTGACCGCAACTTGGGCCAGCCACCACACCTCGTTCCGCGCTGAAGGCTTCGGATCGTAGCGGGGGGGGGGGAAGGTGGACACTTGGGTTTGTCTGTTGAAGGTTTGCTGGATCCAGCCTGCAAGATACAAGTCTGGTAGTTGTGCCTAAAAAAACATGTTTACAACCTTTTGGCACCAGCTTGCTTCAGGCGTTTGAGCCTCGATCTGTTTACGGGTCGAGATTTAATTTGTTTTTATTTGGGATGTTTTCCGTCCGGCTGCTAAAGTGCTGTAATTTACAGCATTTTCTCGCGAAATGTATGTATTTTACGCTAGTCCGTCAACATCATCAGCATCGTTTTCAACATCCCCCGCATGTCCAGCCAACATCCCCAGCATCACCAGCAAATCGAGGGCCTTGGCTTCCTACATCTTCAGCATCATCAGCTCCTCTCCGGCAAGGTTGGTAGGCATTTATGTATGCATGTTAAAAGGAGGGGCGGGTCCCCCTCATGATGGTAAGAGTGAGGATTCAACTGGGGGGGGGGGGGGGGCGGCAGCCTGGTTTGGGGCAGGCGGCGGTGTTTTTAACTGCTTAAGGTTGGCTATTGCTTTGGGTTGTCTCTTCTTTAGGATAGGCCTGCCCTTGACAGAACCCTTGGCTGGGTTGGACAGTTTAACCCTTCAGCTCACCATTGGGCTGTCGAACCCAAACAGGCACTTGATCTATGGGGCCTTGGATCTGGGATCTGCTAATCTCAAGGAACCACGGCGGGGTCCAAACACCAACAAAGATTGTCGGGGTTCGAGAGCCCAATGGTGAACTGATCCAAGGGTCCAATGGTCCAACCCACCCCAGGCTTGGCAACCAGCCAAGTTTAACCCATTCCAGGCCAACCAGCCAAGCTTCAACCCGTTCAACAGAGGACAAAGGTTCAATAGTAGTGGAATCATGCAAGGGCCCAAAAATCCCAACCTATCCAAGGGTAAACCCGCCAAGCATGGAAGTAACTCTGCTTTGAAATTTTCCGGGAATCCCACAAAGTCAAACAGACGCTGCCTGCAAGGTCGCCAGGAAGCGAGGGTGCAGGGAGCAAGAGGGAGTCATCCAAAAGCTCATAAGCCAAGAATTCGTAGTTCCGGCGCTGTTCGGCGGATCCCAAAACCCACGGCCCCATACATCTCATGACTGTTTGCGTTCAAGAGCCCAAGAGTAAAATTGATCTGAGGGTCCAATGGTCCAACCATCCGAGGCTTGGCAACCAGCCAAGTTTAACCCATCCCAACCGAGGACACAGGTTCAATAGTGGAATGATCCAAGCATCCAAACATTGTTTGGACCCTTGAAGCTTGGACCCTTGTTGTTTTTGATTGTCTGGACCCTTTGCGCCCTGAACACCTGGAAGATTGGGACGGCCTTCGACTTTTTTCGATATTTGGACCTTTGATCCTGGAGCCTGTGGAGACCCCCTTGCAAGGGACGGTCATCCACATGTCGAGGCTGGCAATATAGGCTCCCCATTACTCTCCAGCCCTGCAAGTCTGCCAGTGTGTGGTGTCCCCGAAGCACTGCAGCGTCCAATTAGAGTGAAAGAGGAAATTGCATTCTCATCTGCTGAAATTTCGGCCAAACATGTGATAGGTTGTGAAACTGTAGGAGCGCTTCCGAGTGACGCCTGAGCTTTGTCGTGGCGTCCGGATCCGATTGGTTGGGCGGGCCGGGATTGCTGGCCTCCCCGACTCGTACCGCCAGGAGGAATGAACGCCACGAAAAAATTTGCACGCGCCGCAAGATTCGAAAAGGGAATGAACTCCAGGGCGGTAATTCACAGGAGATGTAAAATTGCCGAAGTGCAAGTGTGTTGAATTCTTTCTGCCATGTGCTGGATGAGGTTTTCCATCGTGCATGATCACTATGGGACGTTTGGTGGTGTGCAAAGATTCTCGAATTTGGCCCGGCGGAGGGCTCCATGCCTTTTGCCCAAAGCATGAGTAAAAGTGTAACTCAGGAAAAGGCAGCCATGCCTCGAGTGGATGCATCCGAAGGCAAGGTAGGTCTTATCAAACCCCGCATCCATGTAGAGAGGCTGCAAACAATCCGCGCATGTCTAGTCGTCAATGATTTCGTCAATCTCCGACGGGCTGGAGCATGACCTGAAAGGATGCCATGAGACCCTTTGTCTTTTCCGCAAGTGCCCTGCTTTTTTCAAAAGAGCTCTTGGTCTCTTGCAAATCCTTTCGCAATTGCAGGGTGTTCTGCTCCTGCTCCGTGGCCTTTGTCTGTATTGCACTAACTGCATCTTGCAATACCTTGAAATTTGCAGCAAGGCTCTGTACGTCCTTGGTGTTTTGTGCAATCTGGTTGTGGTGCGATTGCAGGGTCTGATCAGCACCTGGAGGCAATTGATGAACAGGGGGCTGTTGTTCCTTCCTGGACCACGGGTCATTGATCTGGGTTCCGTTGGCGCTGAACGGTTTCTGTGCTGCTGCAACACCCGGCTGAAAGAATGGTGCATCGGATTGGATTTGCTCAAGGATGATGCATCACGTTGGGGAGTCGATGAGCGGAAGTCCAAGATGATATTGACTGTTCTCTGGAAATCACTCCGTCTGGCCCTGGCCAAAATAGCCAGGAGAAAGGTCCCAGCGGCCAGTCTTTCACACGCAGTTTTTCCCGTTAGCTGCTAGTGCCTCAAGGCGGACAAGAGCAGCGACAGGAATGGGCAGCTCTTGAGACGTCGGCGGTCTGTCCACCGTATTCCGACGGTCATTTCTGAGGGCACATAGACCCCCGGTTTGCCTTTAGAGCCTTTAGACCCTGGTTTACTTTTAGACCCTTTAGACCCTGGTTTTCCTTTAGACCCTGGTTTACCTTTAGGCTCTTAGACCAGTGCGCCTGTGGCTCCTCCCAAACCCTGCCGAGGCCTCTTTGGCTGGAGCCGCCGCCCGTTGGCTGCTGTTTGGCGTCTTATGTGGGGGAAGTTCACTGTCTAATTGAGGGGATGGTTGGGCGAGATTTTCGTTGGGTTGCGGGTGCCCTGCAAAGCCTCGCTCCCTAGAGCCTTGCACCATTCCACTGACGCAAAGAGAATCCTCACTTCTCGGACCGTTGGACCCTCGTGCCTTTCGGATCCTTGGAAACTTGTACCCCTGCGAACCCTGGGACTCTTGCACCATTCGGACCTTTGTGCCTTTCAGACCATTGGACTCTTATACCTTTCAGATCCTTGCGCCCTTGTGCCCCTGCGGACCCTTGAGCTATTGTAGCATTCGGAACTTTTCGCACCGTGTGGACCCTTGTGCATTTCGGACTATTGGACCCCTCGCACCACTGCGGACCTTTGTGTCCTTCAGACCCTTGGACCTTTGTGTCTTTCGGACATTGGAATCCTTGTACGCCTGCGGACCCTTGGACTCTTGGACCATTGTGTCTGGTTGACCCTGGGATTTTTGGACCCTTGTTGTACCCTTCGAACCCTTGGGCCCTTCGGACCCTTGTACCCTTGTGCACTTCGGACTATTGGGCCCTTGCACTCGGAGCCGAAGCCGATCGGTCGGAGCCAACCCTAAGCAATTAAAAACACGGGCTCCGTAGGGGCAACAAGTCTAAAAAGTAGCGGGGGGGTTGGGGGGGGCGGCAGGCCCCCGCCATGATGATCGAAAAAGTGATGATTCAATTAGGGCCAAATAAATAAATAAATAAATATATATATATATATCTATATATCCGCCGACATTGTTCGGCGTGTCGGGTACCTAAGAGAGGATAGAGGATAACCCCCCCCCCCTTAGTCCCCCCCCGGGACACGTCAATTACGCAGGGTTTTTCGGTCGCCACCCCCGCGCGGCAATTTGATGACGTTCCACTAAACGTAGTGTTTGGGGAGCCGGTGTCGCAAACAGGGGTCCCAGGCTCGATTCCCCCTGCCGGCTTTTTTGCTGGCTTGGGCTTCCTGCATCCTTTTGCCGAAAAGATGGAAAACTCTGTGTTTTTGGACGTCCTCATTGCGAAAACGCTGAAAAAACGTGTTTTTGCGGGAAATACTGGGGAGCAAACATACATACATACATGCATGCATGCATACGTACATAAATACATACATTACATACATACATACATTACATACATACATACATTACATTACATTACATTACATTACACACATAACATACATACATACTTACATTACATTACATTACATTACATTACATTACATTACATTACATTACATTACATTACATACATTACATATAATACATACATTACATACATTACATACATTACATACATACATACATACATACATACATACATTACATACATACATACATACATACATACATACATGCATGCATGCATGCATACATGCATTATATACATACATACACACATTACATTACATTACATTACATTACATTACATTACATTACATTACATTACATTACATTACATTACATTACATACATACATTACATACATACATACATACATTACATTGCATTACATTACATTACATTACATTACATTACATTCATACATACATTACATTACATACATACATTGCATTACATTACGTTACGTTACATACATACATACATACATTACATACATACATACATACATACATACATACATACATACATACATACATACATACATACATACATACACACATACATACATACATACACACACATACATACATAGATACATACATACATACATACATCATTACATTACATTACGTTACATTACATTACATTGTATACATTACGTTACGTTACGTTACGTTACATACATACATACATACATACATACATACATACATACATACATACATACATACATACATACATACATACATACATACATACATACATACATACATACATACATACATACATACATACATACATACATACATACATACATACATACATACATACATACATACATACATACATACATACATACATACATTACATACATACATACATACATACATTACATTACATTACATTACATTACATTACATTACATTACATTACATTACATTACATTACATTACATTACATTACATTACATTACATTACATTACATTACATACATACATACATACATACATACATACATACATACATACATACATACATACATACATACATACATACATACATACATACATACATACATACATACATACATACATACATACATACATACATACATACATACATACATACATACATACATACATACATACATACATACATACATACATACATACATACATACATACATCATTTCATACATACATTACATTACATTACATTACATTACATTACATTACATACATACATACATACATACATACATACATACATACATACATTACATACATACATACGTACATACATACATACGAGAGAGGGAGATTGGGGAGAGAGAGGCTTGGGGGGATGGGGAGGATGGGGAGCAGAGGGACAATGTCGGCGGACTGAGCCGGAGGCTGTAAAGTATATATATATATGTACATATAAAAGCAGCGGGGGTGATGATTCAATTAGGGGCAAAGAATCTAAAAAGTAGCTGAGTGATGATTCAATTAGTGCATTTTCGAAAGGGGGGTGGCGGGGGGCTCTAGAGAGAACTGGCGATGCTGAGGATGCAGGAAGCCAAGGCCAAAAACCAACTGAGAAAGAGGATGCGAAAAGCCAAAGCCAGAAAGCCGCCAAAAGCCACAAAGCCAAAAAGCAACCTGCCGCAGCAGAACTGGCAATGCAAAGGATGCGAAAAGCCAAAGCCGCAAGAGCCGCAAAGACAAACGGAGAGGAACTGTGGATGCAGAGGATGCGAAGTAAAAATCCACAAAAGCCACCAAAACCCACGAAAGCCACCCCCTGAAAAACAAAAAACAGGCCGAAAAAAAACTCTAAAAAATGGCCCTTTGTTTTTTCTTTTGCGTTGGTTGGAATGTCTTCAAGTCTTTCCACAACAACTAGGTCCTCCAGATTTGAGAGGTTAGAATAAGGGTAACTCTTTTCGGTTTTGTCTGTTTTGCTAGGGGAACCCTCCCAACCAAAAAAGGAACGGTGAGAGGTCGGGCACCTTGGGGGACCTAGTTGAGGCAACAGTTTGGCAACACGGAAAAGTGTTCCTGGACAGCCACTAAGCAGAAAGCTAAATGGTACCCAGCGTGCCCGCTCAGCGCCTCCTCAATGCTCCTTTTGTTGCCTCCTATTGTCAGAAGTCACAATCACAATCACATACCCGATTTTTTGTTTTAAGGAGTGAGGCTAACAAAGTGGTCCATCGGGAGTGAGGCTCGCGACTCGCGACTCGCGACTCGCGACTCGCTTCGGTCCAACGCTCCGAGGCCGCGGCCCGCTCCATGGGGAAGCCGTGCGGCACCCGTGCGGCCCGGTGCTTCTGCTTTTGCTAACCCCCGAGACCGGCGGATCGGGGGAGGTCCAACCAAGATTATGTTCCTCTTTTGGAAGATGCATTTATATAAACTATTGGAAGTACTGCTAAAAATGGACTCCAAAAGAAAGAGATAAGCAGGAAATTGAATGGCTTACCGGACTGGCCACATGAGTTTTGCCATTGTCAAAGTCACCCCCAAGGTATGATAGGTCCACGGGAAACAAAATTCGAGCTGCTGACTTCGATATCATCACGAACATTCTTGACAAGGGCTGCTCCCCCAATTTTCAAGTGCATGAGCAGCCACTATGCACCTGAGTTTTCAGAAAGTCTGTATGCCCAAAAGCTGTCTTTGCCTGTGTCACCTTGATCATCTTATTGCGCATCTGCGAAGTCCTGACCCAAGATGGTCGCTGTGCGGCAGTGCATTCTCTGGTCGCAACACGCTGGAGCATGTTGCTAGTCACTGAATAAACGGGCGTGGACAGCTCATCTGGTATGCTTGGCATCTCCAACGAGTTGTTCACTGGCCTTCCACTTGTTTGCCTTGTACTTGCACCAGCAAAAGGAAGGTGCGTGGAAGATGTATGGCCGGCAGGGAACAGGGGTACCCCCTTCCACACAATGCTCTGGCGGTGCAGATTCTGAGACAATGTCCAGTAACCCCAAACCAACACCGAAGGGACAATGACACATGTACAGATTGTACCCGTTATACAATCGGTTGATACCAACCATTTCCCCATGTGGCAGTGGTTTCAAATTATTCACTCTTGGACATTGGCTACGTCTCCCAGTGCCCCTGGGCCACACGACCCCTCAGCTCAAACTTTGGATTGATCCGGACGATAGTCAGAGGAATCCTGGAGATCCCTTACTGTATTACTTCACTTCCTAAGTGGATGGCAAAAAAAGCAAGTCTAAACTTGTCGGCCACTAGAATGGTCCAGGAAGTCTGACTTAAACAAGCACAACTCGCACGAAGCTCACCGTTTGAAGGCCATTGGTCGTCCTTTTCGTGCTCTCCGAACCGAACCGAACCCGGCGCTTTTCCGCAGCAAGTCTCAGCGGCGGCCCAAGGTGAGTCGCACCACCTCGCCGCGGCAAACCGCCGCCAATCCAACAGGGTCCGTATAGAACGCCTGACAGAGCACACATGGCGTACAGAGCATCCTGGCAAGCAGGAAGCAAGTGTTTGGTGGGGTCTCCTGAACATTGGAGCCCTGTTTGGGTTCCTAGCATGGCAAGCAAGAAGCCAGTGTTTGGTGGGTCTCCTGAACATTGGAGCCCTGGGTTCCTTGACTCTTTAAGTATAGAAACATGTGGGCGGCTGTCAACAAACATCAAGATAAACAAGGGAGCCCGGAAGCTGCTGCAAGTTGCTGCCAAGTTCAAAATACAAACTTCCCAATTGCAACATCTTAGTATGGCAACCAAAACGGGTTGGCGATTTAAGCAGCAACCAACGAAACTGGACGTGCGAACCAACGACTGCTGTGTGTGTGTGTGTGTTCCAAAAAAGATGTTCCTATTGATTTCCCCTTTACTAATTAAGGTGAAAAGGGATCCCTTCCACTAACATGGCACCTGACAGGGAAATGGCCCTCCAAGAGGAAATTTATCTTCCAGGTACCCTCACAGTTGTCTTTTGTGAAAGGGAGCGAGGGTACTCTTAAAGAAACACTGACGCGCCATCCCATAATATATGTACAGGCGTATAGCGTTGCCACCCCCCCCCCCGCCAAACAGCCCTCCAATGGTCATGAGACAAGTCCCCCCCCTAGTGATTTGGTATGAGCGTGGTGTTGGTTTTAAGGTTGGTGTGTGTTCGGATGGTTTTGGTGGGCTTAGGGTTGGTGGAGTGGCTTGTCCTGGGAGCGGGGGGTGCGAATTCAGGGGCTCGGGGGTGGCTTAGGACTTGGAACAGCAACTTAGAAGTCCAGGGTCCCGAAGCTGCTCGGATTCGAAGGAAAAGCTGCCAAAGTTGAGAGTTTTAACGGATGTTTTGATAGGCAAGGTCCGAGGTGGAAAAGCCGAGCGCGGCGGCGCTTCAGGGTTTATAACTTCAAGAATATGAGCGCTGCGCCACTTCGAGAGCGTTTCGACTACACCGAAAGGGTCAATCAAACGCCTCGCAAATCGTAAAAAGGGCTGGGTTTTTTGAAGGTCAAGCGATGGCCGAAGCACAAAGCGCGCGAAGGCTTCACCGCTGGTGACGTCAGGTAAGTGGTTAGCGGTTTAAGTCTCCGTTCAGTGGGTTGTATCCAGGCTTACTAATCGCTTACTAAGTACCCGATCGCCCCTTTAAGAGGGTATGATTTTAAATAAGGGACCCAAACTGGTGGACATCAAAAATCGGTGGGGATTCATGTCCACCAATCACTTTTTGAGGTGGTTCCGGCTCCTAAAAAAAAACATGGCCAAGTATGTGTCCCAAACTCCGTTCAGTGGGTTTGTAACCAGGCTTACTCACCACTTGCCTGACGTGCCGAATCGATCGCCCCTTGAAGTCTCCTCTTCACCACGCGACCGCGAAGCAGAACGAACTTGGTTGACGTTGGAAGGGGAGCAAAGACTTTATTTTCTAGCAGTTAAGTGGTTGGATTTCAACAACTAAACCACAATAAGCAAAACAACCACAACAAACAGCCAACATGTTAAAACAAAAGCCAATATGTTAAAACAAAGAAAACAAAAAACAAACACAACAAACAGCCAAAATGTTTAAAAAACAAAAAAAATGTACCAACAAACATAACAATAAGCAAAATTAAGCAAACACAAAAGCAGACATGTTTCCCAACCACCAAGCGGCCGCCGCGAAGCCAAGGCTCCCGGCGCGCTTGGGCCGGGGGCTTCGGCTGCGGCTGGCCTCCCGGCTCTCTGGGCATTTCCCTGCGCCAAAGGTTGCCATAAAACCGGTGGTGCCCGTTGAACAAAAAAGAGTTTCGGAGGTTCCAAAAAGGGAAATTGAAACTCCAACTTTTTTAGAGATTCCAGAGAGGGAAATGGAGGCAAACCTGACAAATGGTGGCTTTCCTGTTGGTTTCCCTTTCAATGTAAAGCAAAACCGTCAGAAACCCCAGTTGGGTAAACCTCCACCTTGGTTCGCGTAAGAATTTGGGGGGCAACCTGCCAGTTTGTACAGAAAACAACGCTCCAGGGGGGTCCTTCAAATTTGAGCCACGCCCATTTCAGAACCCCTCTTTGAAACCTGTTTAAGTTTCCCGGGTTTCAAATACAGCTGTTGCAAACACCCAGCTAATTGGTGAAATTAGTTTGGTTGGAGTCAACCGGGAGAATTGATGGCCAGCTGGCCATGGTTCCCTTAGAATTTGAATTGCCCGCCTCCCGCTGGTCGGGTGACTTCCCCGCCGACTCCTCCCGAGGGCCGCGAGGCGATCTTGCGGTCTCTGGGGAGCCATCGGATTCGCAGTCTGTGGGTTCAGCCACGGCAATGCAGGTTTTCGATTGGTCTGGAGTTCTTGCCGGTGCTCAGTAGAAAATAACCTCCCCAACCGGAAAAAAAAGAAAGCAAAATGAACCTAGAGATTCCCTCAAAGCCTGTAGGAGTGCTGGTGCACCTTGACATTCACATACTCCTTTAAAAAAAAGGAAGACAAGGCACCAAGGTCAATCAACTGCCACGAATTGAGAGATGGCTCACAAATAAAACACGGGTGGGTGAGGAAGGGGAAGTTCAGGGTGCCACCTTTGTTGAAGGAAGTCTCGGCAAACCCTCCAGAAGGTATCTATGATTTGCAAACTCCTTCATAACTGCAAAACCTGAAATAAGGGATCCCTAAGTGAAGGACCAATTCGCCACAGCAGCGGTCTCAACCCGCTCAAATCCCCATGAGGAAGTGCCTGCATCTTGTCGGCAATCAACGGGGGAAGAGCCCCGTTGAGGAATCCATACTGGAGGCCTGGTTTCGAAACCACACATGAGTCACAATCAAAACCCGCTATTAAACTAGTCTACCCAGAACCATGTAAAGAATTTAGAAGGCGGCCGCAGCTATGTCTGGTTGGGATCATCTCTTACACTAACCTTCATCTACCCGGGTTTTGATTGTGGCTCACATGGATATATCGCATGGTGCAGCGAAAATGAGCGAGGCCAAAGCTCGAACACAGGCGCCCCCACTCCCCCACCTCAAGCCCCCCACTCCCCTGTGTCTAGACTGTGGACTGATGCCAGGGGCCAGAGCACCCTAAGAGATCCAAGGTGTTACGATCGCCGCTGGGAGGCCTCGAGCAACAATGGCTCTCAACAGTTTGCGGGTGAGTGGGTGCGTTTTGGTTTCCCAACAAGTCAAAGGATACTCCCCCACAGACTTCCCGCGAAGTTGGAGGAAACGCGAATTTGGAGGAAACTCATCTTGAGGGAGGGGTCCATGCCATGTTAGTTTGCATTTTTTAGTGTGAACCCAACCCCAGCAGCCAGCAGAACGAAAGAGACCCCAAATCGGGGGATGCCCCTACGCCAGGTTCAAATTCTCCTCCGTCTCTGGGGAGCGGAGAAAGCCGGGCACGTCCACCATCTCCTACCGCTCGCGGCGTCGCCCCGCTTTGTTTTTCCCCGGACATGTGGCCTCACGCCGGTGGTTTTCACACGGAAAACTTGGGCACTAAAACCCAACAGGGGTTGGAGTGAAAACATAATTTTGTGGGAAACTAATAGAGGTCACCTGTATTAGTTTCCACAGGTGGCTTAAATCCGTTTTTGGCGCTTGACATTTGGGGAGGGTCTGAAGGCCTTGTGGCCCGTTGTGGGGCGCCCCGCTGAACCTCCAGCTTTCTGCGGTTTTGCTTTGGCCCCCCCCCGCCCCCATGGAGTCTACCCCAAGGCCGCCACGCCGGTTGGTCTGGTTGGGACCATGCCGCAAATCGGTGGGCAAGTGGCTCGTGTCGCCAAGGAACAGACCTCCAACATGGTAGGCCTCCTTTCGGTTGCCCCTCAAACTCATTTCAACTTGTTGGTCTCCTTTTGCTTGCCCTTAACCCGAATCGGACACCCTCCTATTAAGATATACGGGGGTTGATTAATATGGAGTCAACATTCTGGCCTCATTATTTTACCATGATCAAAGTCACCCCCTAAATGGCAGGTTAAAGGGAAACAACCCCATGTTCTGACTTTGATAACCCCCAGAAACCGTTCAAATAACGACCCCTGGCAGTACGAGAGTAAATCCGGGAATTTGGAGTCTGCACCTCAGACCCGTGCCGCCTGCCTTGCGCACCTCGCGCCACCGCGGCTCTGGCTGCCTGCCGAAAAAAGAGAAAATCCCATTGAGACTCGGGAAGTTCGACCCTGTAAGAAAATGCCAGTACGTTGGGCATGACGGGTAAAGAGTATCACATATATATATATATATAAATATATATATATATAACACAGAAAAATATATCACATATATGCATATATATATATATATGTATGTCTATATTTGCATATATATATATATATATATGTATATATATATATATATATATATTGTTTTTGATATATATAAATACCAAAAAAAACATTAAATAACCATTCTGGGCAAAATGTTTGAATCCAGCCAAACATTTAAACTAAGGGTTCCCTATGAAAGAAGCGCGTCATGAACGACTCCAGGGACCTCTGGTTGTGCCCCTGACCTCGCGGGCTCAGAAAACTTCGTTGACCAACTGCCTGGATCTGTTCCAACCACCGACCTTCAAGGATGTCCCCCATGTTTTTCGTAACAATAGGTACCTAGATAGCCAAGTTGCGATCCCTGTTCCGATCGGTTTTTGGGGTAAAGTGGATGGACAAAAAGCGATCGCCACTGGCGATCCAGGTTGTTTCCCACACTGTCTGGTAGCTCAGCTTCAATTGGCCTTCCTTTTCCTTCGGGATGAGAATGGAACGGACAGGACTCCTTTTGAACTGAAGGGACGGACATCCGGTTCGGAGGCTCAAGGCTTGGTGACCGTCCATGTTTTGGAAGCTTTCAGTCGGCGTGGCAATAAGGAAAATCCCATATTTCTAGCGAAGTTGTCCATTTCCGTTCTTTTCAGGGATCCTTAATTCTAGAAAACCACCCAAAACCCTGTGGAAATGGCTGGTTGTTGAAAAGAACGATGGCTGAAAAGAATGGGGAATCAACCCCTGGAACCTATTAGTAGGTTCTATCTTAAATGGGCTCTAGAATGCCACATGATGTTGTTCTTTACAAGCTGCAAACTGATTTTTCTGAGGAACCTGTCAAACGGGGCCCCTGACTCATGTTTGTGTGCAATTCCAAGAGGAATTGGTTGTCACATGGGAAAGCAAGCACTGGCTGGGGAAATCCAGTCTACCACAAGATGCCGCACTTGCGAAGTTGTCGCACACTGGCTCCATTTAGAACCAAACGACCAATGAAGACCCGGCTACGGGGCGCCAAGGACAGGGGCGTCGGAGGTCTCTATCCTCCTAATGATACGATTGCCCCAAAAATTTGCTTAAGCAAACCAACCATTCTTCACACCTTCCCAGTTCCGGCAAAAAGCATCGGTTCCCTGTGCCCCGTGCAAAATATGCCCGATCATCCCGATTTCGGCTGTTTTGGTGGCCGTTTCGGCTAACCTGCGAAGGGGGAACCGGAAAACCCGAGGATTCGCCTTGAGGGTAGCCTTTTTTTGGGTTGGCTCAAAGACAAACCTAAGGCATCCGTTTCCAGGGCGCAGGGCGTCCGGACCCTGAGCCGCGAAGAAGACAAACCAGAAGGACACCCCGTTGTTTGGGCCTGCATTGAGACCTTGGAACTAGCAACTGAGGGATTCCCAGGTTTGATTTGTGGATTTCCTGGTGGTTTTCCGTTGCCAGGATTTTTGGCGGGTCCCCTAAAAAGGACATCCTGGTGCTGACTTGCGAAGCAGCGTGCCGATAAGTGGGTTTGGAGTGGATCGAATCACCGATCGAGTAAAGCGAGGGAACGGATTTTCCGAGGTCCTGTGCTCGGGCATCCAATTCTTGTTCAAATTTTGGGTTGACTCGCAACATGGTGGGTCATTGTTTTGAGCATTTCTGCGGGTCAAAGTCAGAGACTAATTGGCTTTTTCTCTTGAACCAACCAGTTGGGTGGTGACTCTCATCCTGAAATAATGGGGGCTGTAAAATGGTGGAAGCGGCAGTGAGTTCCATCGGATCGCTCCTGTACAGCGCTGCCATGGTCGTGGCGATCTGCATCAGGTCCTGGTGAGGCAGGAAAAAAACCGGTGCCTACGGTGGATGCCCTACATATTGCAAGTAGGGAACAAGGGAAACCCTGTAAATTCCCATGGTTTGGGTCTGGTTTACTTGCAATATTCAGGGCATCCACCGGATCTGCCAACCTGTGGAAAGTTGGACGAGAAATCCGGAGCCTGCCACCTTTTTTTGGGGGTCTCGGTGAAAAACACTGAGTTGATAAACTCCTAGTTTTTGAGGTAAGACTCCTAGAAACTGATTGTCCACTGGAAATTAGCCTGAAGACTTAAATGAAACAATCAATATTTGTATTCACAGGGTCTACCAAAAACCCATGACTGACAAAGAATACGCAATCTGCTGGTTGGAACTGTCCCCAAAATAAACTTCTATTACCTGAAACAGCAAACCAACCGGGTTCCTCATTACCCCTTCCAGCATCACCCCACAAGGAAACTAAATTCAACATGAATTCCCGGAAGGCGATGTGATGCAACTGGAGCAATGTGACTAGGTCCTCCAGTAGAGAGGTTCGAATAAGGGAACCCTTTTTTGTGTAGTCTATTCTAGTAGGGCAGGGTCCGAGGGTTCCCCCAAGCAAGGGTAAAAGGGCACTACTGAGCTAGGTGATGCAACTGGATTACCGGCTGGGACAGACCCCATGCACCGAGCCTCGAAACTGACACAGCAGGACTTCCACCAGGGAGGCCGGCTGGGCAGCTGAATCCTCGGGCCACGGGTTTCGGGCGGTTCAGGTGAAGATGTCGGTCGATGATTTTCTGGGCTGTCCTCAGATCCCCGCTAAAAGTTTAACTTTTCGCGGGTTAAATGGAAATCTCCACTAAGCACTAAAAGGCTAAGAAGCTAAGGGGATGGCTGGGAACCAACAAGTTTGACAAGCGTGCGGGAAATTCCGGGTCTCTCGATTTTCTCTGACGGTTCCCTGCTTTTGGTGCTTTGAAAGCAAACCAAAAGGAAACCATTTTGCGGGGGCCGGTGGGGGATCGTCCCTAAACAAAGACACACCCACAAAGCGATGCACTTCAATCTCATGCCTGTGATTTTCTTGGTCTCCAAACTTGACATGCAGTCATATGCAGTGACCTGTTCTCCTTCGTTGGGAAATTCATGCCGTGCACCCGGGCCCTAATTTGTCGGCGGCCAGGAAAATGCTGGCCTCGCAGCGATCGAGGATGGATCGGCTTCCCTCAAGGGAGGAAGGCATGCTTGCAGACAAACTGGCCGGTTGCAACCAAAAGGCAATGATTCACACCACCCCTTTAGGGGAAATATAGGGGCCCTTCAGAAAAACGAGGCCTGGCCCCTTGAAGTTTGAAAGCACCCCTTGAAGGAAGAGTCTCATTTTATACATATATGTATATACATATATATATAGTATTGTGCAGTCATATGAAATGTCCATAACATGCACTTTGAACGTGTATTAGGAATGCCTCCATGTTTAACATTCCGACACTTGTTCTTATGCTTGGTTTCCGAATGAGTCAAAACAAATCCCAAGTAGAAAGGGCAAACGAGATGCCCCCTAAAAGAAAGCCTGGTTGACGGAAATCTGAGCTCAGAAAATTGAGAGCTGCCCAAGCCCAAGCCAGAACACCGCTACCAGATCACCGAAGTTTTTCATAACCCACCGTTCGGTGGGGGCTTCCCCACATGGCTGTGGGTCAAATCCCTGTACCCCCTGGTGAACATCAACATATGTGGCATTAACGGATGTTCATCCACCCCAAAATGTAGCCATATGCCCCGTGGGCACATGGCCTCGAAGCCAGGCACACAAATCTATCAAAAGTGGCGCCCAGTGGCCCAAAATCTGCATCAGATGTTCAGATGACGTGACCCATGTCTAGCCTAGCCGAACATGGACAATGCGGGCATTCTTTTGGAGACTCCCTCGGTTTTTCCGCATGAGCTCGCCAAGCCGGACCTTGGGGACTGCCTTTCCTTGTGGCCTTGGCCCACGGGAGCTCCAAAAGAACCGGTTCCTTTTCTCCCTGAAGTCGATCAAAAACTGTTTGCAGACCCCAAAAACGGGGGGCGGGGGGGTGGAGGGGGGGGAGGGGCTCATCTCCTTGGCCCCCGGCCGCTGCAAGCTCGTGGGGCTGGTATTGGCAACACAGCGTTGTTCTGATGGAGTCATTGAGATAGTTCCTCGGCCAAATGTCGTACACCACGGCGCATCTCCATGTTGCGTGGACTCGAATTACAGCAAGTTCGTCATTTTCCAGGGAGGAGAAAATGAAATGAAGAGCCTCTCTTCCCACTTCCCTGGAAAGGTTCGGAAGAAATCTTCGGGCTTCTCATCGAACCTTGGCCGCACCAAGCCCATGTTGAGACCATTTTTGTTAAGGCACTCAAGCAAATCCTCCAAGGCTGTGCAAGGGCTTCTGCCTTCAGAAAAAAAAGTCCCCAACAACTTCGCCCCAACAACATTTTTGGCCTTGGCCACATATTTGGCTGTCAGGCTCATTTGGATCCGGACAAAAGACTCAGCCTTCCAGTACCTCTGATTTGTTCCGTCGTCGACTGTGGGTCAACAATAGGTGCCCAAAATGGAGCCTTGGCAAATAGAACCAAGGACCAAAACCCACGGTCCCCTGGTGGTTTACTTTTGACCCATCATTTGTTCCGTCGTGTCTGGGTGACCAAACCGCCGACTCTTTGGGGTCCCCGGCCAGGCACCCTGAATTACATCCACCAGGTTGGCGGTCGCCATCATGGCCCGCACGAACTGCAGCATGTACCTGGCCCAGCCCATCCGAACCGACCCATCCGGAACTGGACCGCCCCTCCCCGGAGAGAACGCCCCAAAAAGGAGAGGGGAGCCAAACTTTTGTTGAGATTGGAAAGACCCATTTGTGGTGGTCCTTCATTTTTGGACACACAGAACTTGTTGTCAGTTTTCCCCTGCAAATGGAGATCTGGGGTTGCCAATTGTCCCCTGATCTTTCTTTGCACGAGATGCGCTGGGAATATCCTGAAACTCCGGAGTGAGGCACTTGAACTCATCATTTCATGGGAAGTTGTACGGAAACGGTCCGGGAAACAAATCTGGCATGCACCGGTACAGCAAACCCAACTCAAATGCCTGGGAACCGGAGAACGCTGCCCACAGCATGTGCAGCTGCCCTATTCCCCTTTTAGCATCACTCAGCCAAAAGCAAACTAACTTTCACTTGACCAAAATAGCGCAAACTTTCAAAACCACGACAGAAGGGAGCTGAGTTCCTTCAAACGATTTGTGGTGAAACGAGTCACCGCTACTTTTAAAGAGGGCCTTGCGGGTATCCCTTTGGACCCAAAGATGCTACGTCTTCGGCCCCTGTCCGAGGCTTGGAGGGCACCAGGGGTTCTAGAAAACTTCAAACATACTCATCCCCTATTGGGTTTCTTGGGAGAAGAAAAACACTAGTCAATCACATGTTGCAACCACTCATGCATAGGGAAGCCGAGGTGTTTTGTTGCTCCCGCAGAGTGCTCAAGAGGGATCCTCGCGAAGATGGGTCTGGGCATGAATCTACCAGCCTGTCTCCCCAAAACTAGCCCGCCAGTTATGTAATATGAGGGACGAGATCATCAGAACGGATGGTGGGGACTCTGAAACCAAGTCTAGTCAGTATTGTAGCTGTTTCTTGTACCATAGACCTGCTTGTGTTCAAATGCTTCAATCGAAAGAAGGCCTTCTTGCAATCGCAGTCTGTTTGATATTTGATACTCCGAACCCTTAGAAGGCATTTTGGTTTGGAAACTCGGAGGTTCGGACAGAAAAAAACAACTCGCCCCCAGCAAACCACTTCGGAGCCGGGGTCCGACAAGGAACGAGTTCTTGACCAACAAGAAACACTCTTGAGCTTGCCAGACGTCATCAAGCAGGGCCCGAAATATCCCGAAATGGTGGCCCAACCTCCCAATTGCATGATGGTAAGTCCTGTGTTGACCTGGTTGTAACCCAGAAATGGGGGGTCCCCAACTAATGAGTCCTGGGTTGCCTGGGCTGCCTACCTTGTAGTATCCCAAAAACCATGGGGCTGGGCCCTAGGCACCGAACCCCCACTCCCCCTTCTACCTGGTAGTCCCTAGGAACCCAAACCCCAAACCATGTGCCTGTGCGGCGTGGTCCGCAGCAGAACCACTCCGAAGCCCAGCTCGTGAAGGATCTGCTTCTCCACGTTCACCATGGCCTGGTCCAAAAACGTATCCCGGGGAGCTCTGGGAGTCGGGGTCCCGTGTCCCTCTTGGGCAGCTTTATTTTTGACAGGAAGCCCACTTGAGCAAGTTAAACAAGGAAGTCGGCTTCCCACCTTGTCCCCTTCTTTTTCTGGCAGATGATCAAGGGAACCAATTAAACAAGATAAAAGAGGAATTGGGTCGGAGGTCTGGGAACAAAACGGCAGAAACACTCTCAAACGGGCATTCTAGCTCCAAATCCCTCTGGTTTGACAATGCCCCAAGTATTTTCCTGGTGGTGGGTTTTAAGCCTGGGTGTGTCTTCAAAAACAGACACAGCCACACATCACCTTTTTGGCCCATTCAAGGCAAGGGCTTCTACAAGTTGTCGGCGGGCAGGGACATTTGCATTTGACGGCCGATTAGGCAGTGTGTCCTTTTCAGTCGGCTGAGTGGCAAAACGACTGGAGAAGCCACCTTCTGCCAGCCTCTTTGGGAAATCTCGCCCAACACGTGTGACACATCGTCCAAGACATTCGACTCCCCATGAAAAGAAGTCAGCGCCATGGAGACTTGCAATGGACATGGGAGAAACTGTGGGCACCTTTGTTGGAAACAACGGAGTGGGATGTCAAAGTGGGCCATCCCTGACTACTTGATTCATCACTTTGAAGGGTGGGGTCCCAAAAATTGCATGTTCCACGACCAGGATCCGCGTTCGATGGGCACCGTCTTCAGGCTGCACTGCCACAAGCAGTGCCCTAGTTCAATCACTTGATTTTTCCATGGGTCACCGAACTGACAAGCGAACGGTTCGCGAAAGGCGTCTACTTTCACCCGAGTGGTGTCTGAACCTACTAGAATATGGGCTTTTACAAAATCAGAGAGCGGTTGTACTTTAAAAATAGCTAGGTCCTCCAGTAGAGAGGTTAGAATAAGGGTACCCTTTCTTCTGTAGTCTGTTTTGTTTTAGGGGAACCCTCCCCCAAAAAAGGGTGAGACAGGGCACTACTGGGGGACCTAAATATGTTTTAGCGCTTCATGCGGCCTGCCGCCGTGAGTCGCGCCTGCCGCATCTCCAGAAAGCTCCCGCGGTGGCTGGGCAAGGGTCCGGCCTGCTCGTTAGCTTCCGGAAGCTGAGTTTAGAAGCGGAAGCTGAGCTTCATTTTCTAAAGTCCCGAGAAAACAATAAAACTATGTCCAGTTGGGTTCCCTTTAAAAACAATGGAGAAAAAAACACGCGTGCTTCCCCAGAAAACGATGGAAACATGTCCGGTAGTGAAATTGGTTCCCTTCAAAACCAGGGGAAGATCAAAACACATGCTTAGACAAATGAAAGAAGAGGGGTTTCAACTTCCACCGTTGCAGGGCCACGGGGCACTTTTGGCCCGCTTTTGAAGTGCGCTCAGGTTTGGCAAGGTCTCGGGGTAAAAAAATATCGACCAAGTGCCAGCATCGACCGAAACCTTTTGCCAGCAAGCCAAGGGGTTGGCTTTACGTGGATTGGGAGTTGGATTTCCATTGGAGACATCCTGAAGTCCGATCGCCGTCTCACTTACATGGCTTAAAGCCCAGGGAGGCTTTGGACCTATCGACTCTTGAAATGGAATTGTGATCTTTAAAATGAGCGCACACAACCCCCCCCCCTCCCCGAAATTCATGGTTCCCTTTGGCTTCTTCTTCAAAGGGCTTCTAAAAACGGCACCCTCTAAAAATGGGCAGAATCATTCGCATGGGTGTCTCTGCAAGGTCTCGATTTCTTTTCCAGGGAACCCACCCAGTCTCGGTCCCGCGGGAGCTCGGAAGTTCGGACTCCTCCACGGTCTGGGCGCGCCAGAAGAGGCGACAAAAGACCACCACGATGTCCTTGAGCCTTCCGCGGCCGGGGAGTTCACTCGAACCGATCTTTCAAACCCATCGGTTCGACGTGGCTAAGATTGCAAGGGACCCAACAAAAACTGGCAAAACAGCCTCACGGGCCAAGCAAAGTGTCAATTTCCTTCGTAGGGAGCCGTCCATCCAAAGTTTAATGCTTGGGTGAGTCTGGATCTGCTCAAAATGGGAGGATCCTACAATCTCAATCCGTACGTAGCGGGACACCAGAACAACAGGCAGAACATCATGGCCAAGTGTGCGTGAAGCAACTCCCTGCTCACTTGTTTGGCCCAAGACAAACCACTCCAGGGCTTGTCAGGGCAACCCAAAAACAACATGCTTTCTGATAAAAGGGAATTGCACCGCTGGGCCACACAAGCTATGAAATAGCTGACTCCTATTGTAGGAGCCTAAACCTGGCAGTAAAAAGCACCCAACCCCATTCTAAACATGTAGGCCCTTGAGGGAGTGATTCATCTTTCCTCTGGGCCCGGCAGTTTCGAGTTTGCGGCTTGCGGCGCTCCTGCGCTCCTGCTGCAGCTTGCAGGACAGGAGCAGGCACGCCTGAGACTTGAAACCGAGCGAGCCAATAGATGGCCTTCATGCTGAGGTAGGGGAAGTAGGGGAGTTGGGAGGCTTTAAAAGGGTTGCAACCAGTGGGTTACCGGAAAAATTGCCCCCCCCCCCCCCCCCCAGTTTCTTGGGATTTCTTGGACTCACAGAAACTCGCAACCCCAAACGGGTTGCACAGTCTCGTGGTGTGGAACCTCGCTGAGAGTTGGGCTGCAGCAGTGACCCGCACATCGAAATCCGCCAAGGACCTGCAGGAGAGCGAGCAGAGCGACTCCTCGACAGTAAACGCGCGAAAAGAACCGGAACGGGGCCACAAAAAACAAGCAAGCTAGCAAGCAAGCAAACGAGCAAGCAAGCAAGCGAGCAAGCAAACAAACAAACAATCAGCCTTCCGACCACACAAGTAATCAAAGAACAGCCCTACACAGAAATATGGTTCCATGTTTAAAGTGGCTGATATGATCTCACTAAACATGCTTCACTCATAAAATGGCGCAAGAAACGGGCTCCAAGCCGGGCAGCTCACCTCCAATTTGGCAAACAAAGGGTGGTAGCCATGACACCTATGATGGCGGCCTGAACCAAAGACTTCCGCAGTTCCGCCCCAAAGCCACCCCCCCTACTGGTACGGCCTTGGCCTGATGTAATATCAAGGATTGCTGATCCCTGAACCTTTCGGGGGCGTCTTTGAGCGGGGTCCCTAAAACCCAAGCAAGGGCTTGAGTTCGAACCTCCATTTGCCGTAGGCCCGAGGCAAACAACATCCAGTATAGTGTTAGATTCCCTTTAAATCTATCAGAGAAAAGCAACAAAACATCGGAATCAAATGGAAGGAAAAGCAAAACTGGAGGTCCAACAAACCGGCTTGGGGTTGAAAAACGAACGCTGCTCTCTCCAAATGACCGTCTTGCAACTCAAGGGCTGCGCCCAGGCAACCCGGGTTATGTATCCCCAAAATTGGCCCAAGCCGTACACCTAAAGTCATATTCTCAGCTTCCGGTCATATGTTCGGACCTACACGGCGGACCCAACTTTAAGAGCCGTAACCTTTCTGAGTCGGACCCTGACGGGTGACAAGCAGGATCCGCTCGCATCCTAACAATTGATTTTTGGGTGGGGGTCTCTCTTTTTGATGGCATTTGTGAGGAGGAACCTAGAGGCAAAACACCCCACAAAACGGACAGAACCCATGGGTCGCCCCAAACCCGCTCCCTCCCAATTGCTCCATCCGGCCTCCGGCAGAAGAAGCGCTGAAAGATCCCCGCGGCCGTTACCTAGCGCCCAGAACCACATGGTCCCCATGGAAAAATGTGTGCCCTGCATTCTGTGGGGAATTTGTGCCTGAAACTAACAAAATTGTCCCCATGGGAAAGTTTGTGTGCCCTGCATTTTGTGGGGAAATTGAGAATTCAAAAGTCATGGATCTTCCAAGTGTAGTTTGCAAAGCGATTTGGGGATTCGGGCGTTTAGTTTCAGTTCTAGGCGCACGTCACTCATCCCGACTCAATGCCGAATCATGCGATCCAGCAGGTGCCGAGTAATCAAGTCTGGTTCAATCATGATCACTCTCGACATGCATATGGTGGCTGCCCATGCAAGTTCCGATGTGTTCCGCCTGGAACAAACGCGATTTGCATGTGGTGTGGGGGAAATGTTCGTACATCCCAGGCCTTTTAAGTGATGGACATTTAAGGTGTGTCCCTTCCTGGTTTTAGGGAAGTTTTCATGTGCGCTCGGGGTGGCTATGGATTTGCAGCGACAACATGTTTGGATTTGTGTCGAATTAAGAATCGCTAAGACTCGGCCAACCCCCAAACAAGGGATCCAAAAACACTTAGGGAGTCCCCAAGAGGGTGGTCCAAGGGGTGGGGGGGTGGGGCTAGGGCTCTCAACTACCCACCCGCCTTGTACCTAACCCATCCCCCTTAAAAAAAACACAAACCACACCATGGGCCAGTGGCTCTCTCCCTTCAAACCCCATGTTGAGAAAGCGCAGGGAATACTGGGAGCCAGCCGCGCGCATCCCCTTATAGCGTTACCAGCCTCCTCCTGGTGGGCCGTGCCTTCAGCAGTGGAAGTAAGTGGATCTGTCAAATTGCAAGTGCAGGGCTGTGGGGAATGACCACTTCTGTGATACAACGGAAAGGGCTTTCCAAAGACTATTGTGTTCATAGAAAGGGGGGATTCCCTTGTATCACAGAAGTGGGGAGAAACCCCTTGATCCCACAACCCTGCAAGTGGAACTAGGAACCCCCGGACTTACTGTAAGTTACAATGGTTGTGGTTGAGAATAGTTGGAATACTTGCAAGATTCAGTTGGTTCTGACTGGGTTACAAATCAAGCGGCTAACTAGTCACATCCTAACACCAAAGACCCAAGTATTCCCGCAAAGCCTACCCTGAATTTTGCTTGAACCTTTCAAGCAAGCAGGGCCTGGCAAAGTCAATCGGGACTTCCGCAAATCTTTCTTCATGTCGAAAAATCCTTTTGGCATCTCCTGCTGGGTGCGCTCTTCTTCTTTTTTCTTGAGGGCACCTGCTCGGGCTCGAAGTGATTAGGAACCAAACCAGGGGACAACTCCGTTCTGCGGGTCCGCGGGGCCGCCCCTGCCCGGATCGAGCGCCGCCAGTTGCCGCATTTCACCGGGAACCGGGACTGAAAAAGGCAGCAACGTGGCTAGCTAGGTGGTTTAAACAAGCAGAACCCAAGTCCCTAGTTTAAACAAGCCTGCGTTTAAGACCCAGATTTAAGACCCTGATTTAAGACCCATGTTGAGACTTCCGTGGTTGAACCCCGAAGTCAACCCCCCAAAAGCCGCAAAGCCCAGGCCCTTGTGCTGCCAAGGCGCGCAGGCGCTCTGATGTAGGCGCAACAGCACCGTGGCGCGTTGAATCAGCACCTATGTTTTTTGCGTCCGAAATCTATCCCTGGCCCAAATCTGGAGTACACCAAAAATCATATGTTCAGGCTCTGTTCCATATACTATCAGCCAAAATATCAAATGGTACACTTGGATGAGCGGAAGAACTACACAAAACACATCACAGTGACGAAAATTGGGTCGGCCCATTTGGACAATCGCTAAATCCTCCGTTTCGGAAGCAGCCTGCCAATTGTAAATCCAACTAAAAGGGTTGGTTTCCTGGTGGTTTCCCTTGAAATACGCATCACGCAGGTTGCAGCACGACCGCAAAGAACGCACCCCTCTCCAGCGAGCCACCAAGCAAGCTTCAGGCTTAACCTTCTCCCAAACTGATGTTGAGCGGCGGGAATGTCTCAACTGCTCCGTATCGTGGAATGCGTCCAAGTGCGAGACGACATGCATGGTATTCACTCAGCAGTGGATGTGGGTTTTCATGCGATCAATCCTTCGATGAGTGCCTTGTCCCCAAACATGTTAAACAAGCAGGTCTAGAAAACGGCTTGGATGCGCTTTGCGTGGATTTCACCGGTTCTTCCCCCACTTGGCCCATTTTTTTAGTACTTGTTTAGTACTCACAGGGGTGGGTGGATCCACAGATTCACCCCATCCAAGCCGGTTTCCTCTCCGACGCCGGGCGGGGCTTCCCGGCTGCGCCATAGGCACGCAGCTCTGCTTCCGCCTCCTCGGTTCGAAGAATCGAAGATCCATCTGCCGTGGGTCTGAGTTTTAAGGGACCCGAGATGGACATCGAATTTGGTGGAAGTCCGAAATGGGGTAACCCCAAAATGGGTTGCCCTGGTAAATGGAGATCGGGACGGTAGATGGAAAAGTAGACTAAAACCTGCGAGAGTTTTTTTTCAGGACAGCCTTGTGGGGTTGCTTCAACAGGAAACCATGAGGAACGTGACCAGGCTGTGGGTCAAACACATGCTAGCCCAAAATGGAACCCTGGTTAATGGAAAAGTAGACTAAAACCTGCGGTTTGCCCTGGGTCTTGATTCTTGAGCCACACCCATTGAGGTGGGGGTCCATGTCCAACCACTTTGGAAGTCCAACTCTTAAAACTCATAGACATAGTTCTAGGGGTTGGTTCCCCCATTCTTTTCAACCATCGCTCTTTCCAAACACCGGCCGTTTTCCCTGGGTTTCCGGAGGGTTGCTAGAAAGAAGGATCCCTGGAAAGGGGAAGGTACCCCTAGACTTAGTGGTTGGTGAATACCGCCGCTTTGGGTGCCCCCTCAAAAAACATGTCACGTACCAACTTTTGGCAACACATGGGAAGGCACAATCCATCTGGGATTCCAGCTGTATTTTTTCTTCGGTGGATACATCCATTTTGGCGCTCCCATTGGAAACCAGCCACCTTTTGCCAGAAACCGAAGAAACCAATGGCAACATCTGCAGGAAAACGTAGCTTAGGTGTGTGCCTGGTGTTTGGCCAATGCTGAAATTCTCTCCTGACTCCGCTGCTTGTGAGCAAAAGGGGGCTATGTATGGCTGGAACTGTCCCCTCACATTCACAAACCTGAGACACAATCAAAACCTTGCCTTAAAATGATCTACCCAGAACCATGCGTCAAGAATTAACAAGGCGGCTGCACCCATTTGGCCATGGGTCAAAAGCCCGTACCCCCAGTGAACATCCCAATCCCAACTAAAATGGACTAAAATGGGTTGTGCACCTGCCCCAAAATGGGATCCCATTGACTTTGACCCACAGCCATTTGTGGTTGGGACGGGTTTGTGTTGGCTCTTGATCGACTTCGAGCTGGCAGTCCCGGCGCAGCTGATGCCGTCCTCCTGAGAAAGCAGGTTCCTCCAAAAGGGCAAGCACCGTCAAAAAGGGGAACCCCCCAACTTGGTTGACGTTGGAAGGGGAGCAAAATGTAAATTGTAGCAGTTAAGTGGGGATTTCCCACTAAACAACAATAAGCAAAAATGTAAAATGTGTCCCAACAACAACCATGCCAAGTCGGATTCCCTTCAAAATGCGACCCTCTCTCGTTGATCATCCAGGTTGGTTGATGCTGGAATGGGTCAACGTTACATCGGCCAAAACCCTGCAATAATTCCGAAACCTAAGATCAGAATTGCAAGCCCAAGTGAAGGGGCTTAATGGTGGGTTTTCGCACTGTATCGGCTGGACAGAGCAGAAGACTGCTCAAACTGCTCAAACTGCTCAAGTTTTTGGTGCTGGGTATGGAAAAAAATGGAAAACAAAAAAGCCAACAAGCCAAACCAAAGTCAGCCAAGTCCAATGATTCGCCTTGGCTCCCGCGTCCGGTTGCAATCCCATCTGTTGAATTCTTCAGCTCCCATTGGAAGTCCGTTAGGCAAAATGGATGGCCATCTATGTTCCACCAACACAATAAAAAAGGACACCTGAGTCACTTGCTCAAATCCCGGTATTGAAATGATTGACCCACCATGTAAGGAAACACACAGGCGATATCCGCTGTTTCTGGCCGGGGTTGTCCCGTACCAACCTTCATCTGATTGTGGCTCACTTCTGATCTGGGCAAGGTACTCGCTGTTTTACTGGAGGGGGCTGGGGGCTTGCAACTTTTTAAATTAAAGTTGATTTGTGGATTTGTTTTTGGATTTCCCTCCCCGGGCAAACAAAAACTTTGAGTTATTCTACGACCCCTGATTAATCGGGTGTTAACATTATCATTTTGAGCCCTGGCAAAACAAAATATTCACCACGGAAACTCTGGTAATCCAGATATAATTACCCTGCAAAGAGTGTGTATTTGGAGGGGCAAGTTTGCATAAGAGTCATCTTTTGTTGGCTTATGATTTGTTCGAGCTGACTCCGGTTTATCACGAGCTCATGAGGATAGTCAAGTTTGTTCATTGCTTCCAGAAAATAAACTATCAGTTGCTTTACTGAAAGGCATTCCCCTTTAAATTGGAGGCCCACTTACTTAAAAGCACTCCCCTTTCAATTGGTCGCCCACTTGCTCAAAAGCATTCCCCTTTTTAATTGGTTGCTCAAACACAGAACCCAAAGCCAGTTGAAACCTCTGAAATTTGAAAACCATCTCCAGCCCTGAAACTGCAAATTCTTTATTAAACCCAGCTGTTGGAAAAATGAAAAACAACAATCGGGACAAGGGTACCCCTCACAGACTCCACTGAACCACAACAATGGCATTCTTTAGGGGGACCACATTAGTTGCAAGCCCCCAGCCCCCTCCAGAAAATAAACTGTCAGTTGCTGAACTCAAAAGCATCCCCTTTAAATTGGTGGCCCACTTACTTAAAAGCACTCCCCTTTCAATTGGTCGCCCACTTGTTTAAAAGCATTCCCCTTTTAAGTGGTTGCTCAAACACAAAACCCAAAGCCAGCTGAAACCTCTGAAATTTGAAAACCATCCCCAGCCCTGAAACTGCAAATTATTTATTAAACCCAACTGTTGGAAAAATGAAAAACAACAATCAGGACAAGGGTACCCCCTCACAGACTCCACTGAACCACAACAATGGCATTCTTTAGGGGGACCAGATTAGTTGCAAGCCCCCAGCCCCCTCCAGAAAATAAACTATCAGTTGTTTTACTCAACAGCATTCCCCTTTAAATTGGAGGCCCACTTACTTAAAAGCACTCCCCTTTCAATTGGTCGCCCACTTGCTCAAACGCATTCCCCTTTTAATTGGTTGCTCAAACACAAAACCCAAAGCCAGTTGAAACCTCTGAAATTTGAAAACCATCTCCAGCCCTGAAACTGCAAATTCTTCATTAAACCCACCTGTTGGAGAAATGAAAAACAACAATCAGGACAAGGGTACCCCTCACAGACTCCACTGAACCACAACAATGGCATTCTTTAGGGGGACCACATTAGTTGCAAGCCCCCAGCCCCCTCCAGAAAATAAACTGTCAGTTGCTTTACTCAAAGCATTCCCCTTTTAAATTGGTGGCCCACTTACTTAAAAGCACTCCCCTTTCAATTGGTCGCCCACTTGCTTAAAAGCATTCCCCTTTCAATTGGTGGCTCACTTGCTTAACAGCATTCCCCTTTCAATTGGTTTCTTTCTAGCTCAAGCCCTCCCTGGCTGAAAGGCACACTGTTTGAATGGCTACTAACGTAATTAATATTCCAAACAAGTATGCTCAGGAAGAAGTGGTTGCAATACTAAAGTAGTATTCCAAAAAGTATGCTCAGGAAGAAGTGGTTGCAATACTAAAGTAGAATTGCAAAAAGGAAGTGGCTGCAATAGCCTACCTCGAAAAAATGAATATTTGGAGAACGGGGTTGCTGTTTGCCGCTTGAATTTCCTCCTACACGGATCCACAGCAACCCGAAAGCATTTCGAGTCCAGAAACAGGGGTCCCTCGAAGGACAACTTTGGGCCAGTGAAGCAATCACCTCAACCAGTTTGCGAGGAACCAAATCGTTGCACATCAGATTTTGAGATGCCAGTAAGCAACCCCCAGAACTCTTCCATTGGTTAAGTTAAGCCCTTTGGAAAAAACATATGTCCAGCAGTGATATATTCCCTTTAATTAGATCTCAAAAGAACAAAAACAACAATACTCTTAAGCAAATGGAAGAACTCGGGCGAGATTGGGGACACCAAACCAAAACCTGTCCTGCGAGGGTGTGTCCAGTGCCTCTACCGGAGCCGGTTCCGGCGCTGGAGCCGCCATCCCTGGCAAGGCGCAAATGGGGGGGAGCCAAAATAGACGCTGCTTCCATTTGCTTCACTTTCGACCCAACATCCCGGCGTTTTGCATAAAGCTGTTCACGGCAGCAGCCCCCTTGAAAACCAAGAAGTGGTAGCGGGCTCTGAAAACACAAACTCGTGCACCAGCGTTTCCCCATTACCCCGAAAAGAGTACCGGCTCCAAAAGAGCCACATACCTTTCCGGTTGAGGAGACACGACTGAGCTCAAAACTACATAACACTCTGGGCAAATTGCAACATTTCAGCAAGAACGCCAACGACAAGCGGCTTCACTCTAAGACAAAATCCCCAAAGGGGTATGAACCACCCTCCCCCAAGCTGACATAAAAGCTGCCGAACGGCCCCGAAACGGAAGACTTGGTTCCATCTCCAGGATCGGCCTTCTGAAAGCTTCCGGCTGTTAGTCTGCGGGAGTGTGTACAAACCTCGGAGGTAGGATTTCAATCCACGAAGCCTTTGGAATCAATCGCTGCAGTTCTATGCCCCATCGCGCGGCATCTCACCCCAAGAGTCAGCTTTCCGAAGATTTGCAGTGGTGGGAAACCTCCCTCAAGGACCAGGTGGGTGCAAATCCAGTCCAAACCAATCCCAAACGCCAACTAGGTCCTCCAGTAGAGGGGTTAGAAAAAGGGCACCCTTTGTTCTGTAACCGATTTTAGCAGGGGAACCCTCCCCCAAGAAAAAGGAAAAGGAGTGAGAAAGGGCACTACTGGGGGACCTGCCCAAGGAAATCCCTGAACGGAACCCTTTGCAGTGCCTCGGGTGCTACTTCTCTGCCCATGGGCGTAGCAAAGAAGTGCTGAGAGTGTGCTTGCAGCCATGCCAAATTGGCGCCTCTCGTGCGGACAAGTGTAGATCGATCTCGAAAAGTTGCTCATCGTTTCGAAGAAAACGATCCGGCACTTGTGTTGGCCGGCGGATGATAGGCTCGGAAAGCCAACCCAAAAACAAACAACAAATCAACAAATCAACGGTAGATCTGGAGTACTTGCCCGTTCTCTTTCGATAGGCTCATAAACGACCCTCTCTCAACTTGGATTGGGAAGCCGGGAAGAAGCTCTATTCCCAAACAGGGGCTGCGCATGATCTTCCTGAACATGGCACTCCCCCCATCAAAAGGCGTTTTGAATCGGTCGGGTCCGTCTGCGCTCTGAGCCAAAGCACGTCCAGACTGCATTGATGGCTTTTCGCGCGCGCCAATTCACCCCCCCCCTTGATACTTGGTACCAACATGTTGGCTAAATCGGGGGGGTTTGCCCGGACCGGAAGAACCTTGGCACGCGTATTGCAAGTCATCGAGTGATCGAGTGGTTTCAGTTGGGCCGTAACCACCATCCCTGCCCCCCATCTTCTGTGTTTTGCAGACCATTGACCTTTAGGCAATCAGTTTGTATCGCGTATACATGTCCGTTTTCTACCATAGAGTTCAGACTCGCCATGGAAAAAGACCTCGCTGTCGCTCTCAGCACATACTCATACACTGTATTCCCCAGAACTTTCCGGACTGTCAACCATCAGGTCATCAGGCTCGTTGAGAAACAGATCCAGGGTGATAGCCAAAACGCAGGATGCGTGCCACCACGAGGCACGGGGGCGGGGGTCGACAGACGAAGTGTGCCTGCATCCCCACCCCCCACCCCACCCCCCACCCCACCCCCCCACCCCACCCCACCCCACCCCTCATTTCGACAGGTGATTGCCAGGGAGGATGTTTGTGAGCACAACCCCCCCCCCACCCGGCAGTGTTGAAAGTCCGGGCAACCCCCCCCCCGATGTACCCAACATGTTGCCAAGGCTTATAAAACCAGGTAGGGAACCCAAACGACAAGGGTGCCACCGACAGCTGCGTACCGATGATTAAAAAAAAAACACGAAGCCAGGCCCTTCAGGGCTCCTGAGTTCAGTCGCTCGATTTCCGCGGCCCACGCAGCAGGTGTGAGTCTTTGGTATTCATTTAGGGGGATTCAAGGACCGACCATCATAAGACCAAGAAATTCCAGGAAGCAGACAGTACACTCTGTTGAAAAAGGGGGCAACATCTCCAATGTTCTGCACGTCTCACTTTCAACCTGAAGAATCGGATCAAGGGACCCAAATCCCTGGAATGGCTCCCCATAGACTCGGAATCTTCAAACCATGGGCCCACGGTGCTTTGAGGTGGATGCCCAAGTGAAGGAATAAAGCCAGCCCTACTTGAATTGTCTCCTTCGGTTCCTGGACAAAAAACTATACATACATATACAAATGCCCAGTAGTGACAACTTCCTTTTAAAACCACAATAGGGAAATAGAACATATTCTTCAGCAAATGGAAGCCTAATGGACCGTCGTTTACCATGGTTTGTGATTGAGTGCGGTTGGTTTGCTTGCGATAGGGCATCCACCGCAACCCACGGAAACCACAACTATGTAGCGCGAGTGAAGAGAAATGAAACATGAGACGCATCGCATCGACCTTTTCACTCGCTTCAAACCATCCGCGGTCTTCTTGAGATGCTCAAAATGGCACCTTCTATAAAAAAGGCGGCTGGCAAAGGAGCCCAAACTACATGGCACAGGTTTGCCGCGCGTAGAGGAGAACGCGCGGCAGCAACGATCCGTGCCTGCAGAAGGGCTCGGCATGTTAGATCGAAATCCATATGAAATCGGCTCGGATTGCGCCCATGTTGGGTCGGTCCAGTTCGGTCGCATGGGGGCCTGTTGTCGACCTGAGGCCAAACCACACGCCGAGTGAAAGCACCAGCAAGGCCTGCCTGGCCCCGCCGCATCTCTGGAGAAAAAACACACAAACACACGCATTGAAACCGACCTTCGACTCTCTGGGCACTAACGTAGTTCGTGACATGTCCGGCATTTCCGATAGCTTGGACAGCTGAAGGAGAAACGCCATCTGTGGCTCCGTTCATAGCCAGGGAGGCCTCGCAGCCTCGTAGGCCTCTTCATCGGCTAAAAGGATGACGTGGGGCTAACCTGCGCCTTGATATCCTCGAATATGTTTAGAGCGAAATTCAACCGTTTTTTTGTTTTTCATTTTTTTGTTTTTTTTTTGGGGGGGTGGGACCACCCTTTCGGCTGGCTAAGGCTTTAAATCATGCAATCGCCCCAGCACCCCAGACCGGAAATAGGAATTGGAACCCCTTGTAGATGACCTGCATCGCGGGCGAGTGTGTTTTGCCCATGCGCGTTGGTGTCTTCCCCTCTGGAAACAAACAAGAGTTGCGCCATTTACTTTGAAACCAATCTTGTTGATCAGGCCCCTAAAAACACCAGATCCATTAGATTATATGACTTACCCGACTTTACGGTCCCCCCCCCCATTTGTTTGCAACAAGTTTCAACCCATGGGTGCTGTTTCTTGGCCTGGCCGTTGGAAGCTTCGTTGGCCCCACGGGGCTCTTGCCCGGGCAAGAGGATCGAGCCGCCAAAGCCGCGAATGGTCCCGCAATGCGCGAATGGTCCCACAAGTGTCGCTCGCAGCTCTTGGCCACACCTCACCTTGTGGGTGCGCACTTCAAGTGGGCAGCAAAGGAAAAGGACATGTCCGCCAACCAAGTTTCAGGTCCAACTCGAACAGGCAATTTTAGGCACATGCAGTCAGTCTAAATCTCTGTCGCACATCTCCGAAAGTTTCACAGACCAAAAGAGAACAATTGATTTGTTGGTGCTAGTCTTGGTTGACGTTGGAAGGGGAGCAAGAATTTAAACTTTAGCAGTTGAGTGGGGATTTCCCACTAAACCACAATAAGCAAAAATGTAACATGTTTCCGAACGACAACCATGTAGTGGGAAAAAACAAAAAAGGATCGACACCCTCCGCATCGTTGGGACCCAAAAACGAGACGTCCACCGCGTCTCGAAGCTCTCAGAAAAGGCCGAAGAAGCTTTTCGGCTGGAGCTTGTTGAGAGCGCCCTGGCAAGAGACATGCGGCCACGAAAAACGGGGCCCTACGTGGAAACTGGATATTGTATATGTCCCGCTTGTATGATTTTTGCATATCTGTATCTATATGCTCCCCCCGGTCCGTGGTGCCTACGTTTTGCCCACGTGTTGCCTAATTTGAGAGCGCAGGATTGTTTTGCAGTAGGTCCACCGTTTTGCTTGATTTGAGCGGACAGGCTGTAGTGTTCAAACTATGTTTGCTGCAGACTTAAGCAAAGAGATGCAGGCTTGCAGTCCATCATGTCCATTTCATCTAGTGTTGGACAGGGAGCAACTCCATTGCACAATTCCAGGAAAACATTCCAAGCAAAAATGTATCAACATGTAGACATGCTAGAAGCCTCTGGAATTCATAGAAACTGGATTTACAGACGAAATTTGGTACTCCGAGCACAAAAGCAACTGGGATGCAGGTGGCCACAAAACATAGGCGGTTTTTGTTTGCACAGAACAACCTGTCTTTCTGTGCAACTTCTTTGCGCAAGTTTCTCTGCGCAAGTTCTCTGAGCAAGTTTCTGCCAGCAAGTTCTCTGAGGAAGTTTCTCTGGGCAAAATGGAAGATTTGGGACCTCTTGCACACAATGAATGGATATGTTCTGGATTCAAGATTCACAATTGCCCCCGAAAGCTTTCTCCAACATTTTGACTCCAGAAAAAAACCATAAACTCAGTTTGAGACACTAGTAGTGTAAGAAGACATTTTACTCTGCTTTTGGACAAAACGCACTGCCATTATAACAATGCAGAAAACAAGCGCTCCTTCAACAAGTAAACAAGCCGGACTTTCGGGAAATTACATGAACAAAAAGGATAAATACGCATCTTTCCAAGATTCAATAATCACAATTGCCCAGGCAAACATTGTCCAGAAAACGAAGGGTATTCAACATTTAAGCTTGCCCATGCAAATGGTTGTGAAAAATGTTTGTCAACTTGCCCCCTGAAATTATGACTGCTGAATCAATACTGATACATCATTTAGATCCAGAATGCAGAGCTTATGCGGGACGTTTGAGGGAAGTCTTTGATTCGAATGTCTCCCCCGTGAATCTCTAAGTACCAGTATTCGGATTTCTTAGTACTGATATTCACATTTTTTAATACCGGTACTAAGAAATCTGGATCCAAGACCCAGCTGAGGACTTTTGAGGGAAATCTTGCTGAAACCTTAATACCGGTATTCAAGTTTCTCAGTACTGCACTTGATTTCTTATACACGGTATTAAGGAATCTGGATCCAAGATCCAAGATCCAAGATGGTTGGGGGACTTGTGAGGGAAATTTTGGATCCATGAATGCCCCCCTGAAACCTTAATGCCGGTATTGACGTTTCTTGGTGCTGTCATGTAGATGCTTTAATATCCGGCATTAAGGAACCTGGTTCCAAGATCCAAGATCCAAGATTGAGGGGGGCACTCTTGAGGGGAAACTTGCATCTTGGGTCCAGATTCCTTGATACTGGTACTGAGGTTTCTTAGTACGGTCTGGATTACGACATGTGTTTGTTATCTTTCCTATTTTTACTTTTAAATATGGGATTCAAGATTCGATAATTCCAGGAAACGTGCTTTGAACTATTGAATCTTAAATACAGAGGAACATCAGCACCACAGGGGAGGGGGGCATACCATGTTTATAAATATATATATATATATTAATATATATATATATATATACATATATATATATATCTATTACTGGGCTGTCCTCAGATCTTACGCTAAAGGTTTAGCTCTTGGTGGGATAAATGAAAACCCAACCACTAAACCAACTACAATGCCAATTGCAGGAAGCTAAGGAACCGGATGGCTGGGGGCCACCAAGATACAAATATATGTATATATATATATATATACACAGTTATCATATTTCC